TCTCCTCTTTCTTCCCCTCCTCCTTTCTCCTCCCTCTTCCTCCTCCTTTCCTCCTTCCTCCTTTCTCCTCCCTCTTCCTCCTCCTTTCCTCCTTCCTCCTTTTTCCTTCCTCTTCTTCTTTCTCTTCCCTCTTCCCCTCCTCCTTTTCTCCTCCTTCTTCCCCTTCTGCTTTTTCCTTCCTCCTCCTTTCCTCCTTCCTCCTCTTTTTTCCTTCCTCTTCTTCCTCCTCCTCTTTCCTCTTCCCCCATCCTTTATTATATATATATATATAAACATAACTTTGACCCCCCCCCTCTTTCCAAACCCCCCAGATTTGAACTTTCCTGCAGGGGTCTCCAACCTTGGCAACTTTAAGCCTGGCGGACTCCAACTCCCACAATTCCCCAGCCAGCTTTGCAAAGTTAGCCTCTGGCTTAGAGAACTCGCGAGGAGGAAGAGGGGGGAATGGGCGGGGCCAATCTCCTCCCCGCTGCCCAATGGGCGGGAGGCAGCACGGCTTTCATTGTCAAAGGGGAGGCGGGCGTGGCTGTCTGAAGGAGGCGGGGCCCGAGAGGAACCGCCCCCTTCCCCGAAGCCCCGCGCGCTTCCTCTTCTCGGCTCATTCGGCTGCTGGAAGTCATCCGGGTTGGATCTTCGCTGTTGCTGCCGCCGCCGCCGCCGCCTTCCAGGGCGATCCCTTCCCTGCATCGGCGCTGAATCCTTCGGAGAAGGCTGCCCGCTTTTGCCAGGTAGGGATCTTTAACTCCACACACACCCTCCAAAAAAAAAAAAAACCCATTGCGGTCTTCAAGCGCACTGGCCAAAATTTAAACAAAAAACAATAATGGATCGACCTGTAGCTTGTTGGACCTCTTTAGAGAGCCTCGAAAACCTGACAATGGCAGGAAAGTTTGGCCTCTTTTTCTTCTCGGTCGGGAGGTTCTCCATAACGGAAAGGTTTGTTTTGGGAGAAGAATTTCCGGCCCCGGATTCCAGCCGGGGGTTGTGCGAGAAGCAAAGAAGAAATGTAGAGACACTTTTAACGACTTAAAAGCCAACCCAATCAATGTCTCAAAAAGCCCCACACAACAGGCGCCATAAATATCACAAACAGCACACCACACACACACACACACACACACACACACAGCTGGAGAGAAGTTCCCTGGGGATGGGCTCGAAGACAAACCCCTCTGGTCCCCGGTATCAATACAGATTGGATCCTGCAAAAGGCTCTATCCATCCATCCATCCATCTATCCATCCATCCATCCATCCATCCATCCATCCATCTATCATCAGGATAGATGGATAGATAGATAATGATAGATAGATCATCCATCCATCTATCATCAGGATAGAAGATGGATGGATGGATGGATGGATGGCTAGATAGATATAGGATGTATATCATCTATCCTACCTATCCATCCATCTCTCTATCCTATCTATTCTATCTATCCTATCTAATCTCTCTCTCTCTCTTCCTCTTTCTTCCTTCTCCCTCCCTCCCTCTTTCTTTCCTTTCTTGCTTCCTTCCTTTCTCTCTCTCTCTCTCTCTCTCTCTCTCTCTCTCTCTCTTTCCTCATTCCCAAAAGCAATCACTCAGGTTCTCCCAACCCAGAAGGGATCCTCTTTGTGCTTAATCTTAGAAGAAGAGGGAATAAATATCCTTGGTGTGTTTTTTTTTTTTAATATTTCTCTTGCTTTTTGTTTGACCAAACTGGACAGAATTTCTGTAAATCAATTGCTTCTTTGTTTGGCCCTTGAAGAAGCCTGGGATGTCAGCGCTTCAGGTTGACTGACGAGTGTTTCACAAAGTTTTCAATCGAGCGGGGTCTTGTTAGGAAGCGGTAGAGAGGAAGCCCAAGAGAGAGAAATGGAGGGAAAAGGCGAATTGACCTATAAAGTAGAGAAGGGAGAAAGAGGGAACTAAGAAGAAGAGGAGGAGGCCCAGGTTGCTCAGTGGCCTTGTTCGCAAATTCCACACTGAAGGAAGGGGAAATGATGAAATAGAAGAAGGCAGAAAAACCATGTTAATTCTATTTAATTTGCTTAACCGTGAAGGCCATGATGTGAAATTGGGTTTTGCCTGTAGCACACTCTCCGAGCTGGGATCGGTCTTCATCCCAGAAGTTACAGAGCCCTCAGCTAAACCCTGATTTGTTTAACCGTGATTTGTGAAGCTTACATACCTGGGGGAGTAATTCCAGTGGTTGGGTGGAGAATTCTGGTGAAGCAGTATGGAAAATTACTAATAAAAAATGTACACACTTAGCAGAAATCCCCTGACCCCATGTCTTGCTTCTTGTAAAAATATTGTGTTGTTGAAAGGCTGAAAATGCCTTTCTTCCAAGGGTTCTTTTTTCCTGCTGGGAGTGCTTTCAGAGTAAGGACACAGACAGGCAGCTATTTGGAAGCAAGTTTCTTTAATTTCCAGGAAGGCAAGAGATAGCAAGAAGTCTGTGTTCCTGGGGCTAGCCAGCCTTGTGTAATAAACTCCTGATTTTTATACCTTTTCTCCTTTTGTGTGTGAGTGAAATCCTATCAGGGGGGGGTGTCCGTCAGAGGGTAAACTCTGCCGGGTGGTTTGATTGGATTATTAGTTTCATTTCTTATATTTGTTTAGTGGCAATCTCCTGTCTGCTATGGGTCTTTTGTCTTATTTGTTTTGCTGATTTGGCATGGCCTTTTGTTTGTAAGGGATTTCTTTTTGTTTCCCTAGTTTTCTTAATTACTTGGCTTTTTGCCTAGGGGGCTTCTTTCAATACCTTTTATTAAATCTCTTTTCCTATGCAAGTTTGTTTTATGGCTTAGCCTGATGTTCCCTTTGGGCTCTTCCTGCTTGGGTATCACTACTGTCCTCATGAAGTTCCCTTTCCACAGTGTAAAGCCATGAACTAAGGAACTGGAACTAACCACGTTACTGTAAACAAGGGGGGACATGGAAAATAACAGATGGTATAAGATAACTGAGTAATCAAAAATTGTACTTCTCATTTCCTCTATATTTCCTTTAGAGAAATGTATACAATATTCTCCTTTTTGGGTAAAATGTAACAGAAGGAACGCCCCGGCCTAAGCAGAGGTCATGATATGTATAAAAGTAATGTTTCAGTGAAGCAGTTGAAAAATAACACATAAAACATTTTTCATATTTAACACAAGTCAAGTCATATTTAGCAAAATCCCCAATTTCCCCGAAGCTTTGCTTAACGTAACATTGTGAAAACCCATAAAGTTGCTGAACTCAGGAGCTGGACATGAAAAATAGCTGATGGTGTAAGATAACTGAGCAATTAAAATTGTACTTCTCAATTCCTCTATAGTTCCTTCTCAGAGATGTATACAATATTGTCCTTATTTGGTAAAATGTAATAAACATGAAGTAGGACCAGAAAAAGGACATATTAAATATAATCTTGCTATTTAAATATAATCTTGCTATATTATACACAGATCATCAGACTTCTGCTTGTACTAACTCAAGTCTTAGGAAACCTATTTTAAGGAAGTAACAAAGTAACGGTTGCTGTAAACAAGGGTGGTTACGGAAAATATCTGCAGGTGTAAGATAACGGTATAAGACAAAATATGCTTGTTCATATCCTCTTTTCTCTGTTCATATCCTCTTTTCTCAATTCTGTTCTCTGAAAAAGATGTTTTGTAAGTTTTCTTATTATCTAGTAGGTACAAAGTCCATATTTGGTAAATATGTCAAAGATGAACGCCCAGGCTTGGGCTGAAGTCATCATAGGTATAAAAGAACCAACCCCAAGAATGTGAGGGGGTTCAGAATTTGACATGCTAATGCTCTGAACGCTTTGCGCAAATAAACCTGTATTCTCCCACCTCTCGTGGTCTCGTGTCCTGCCTTGGAAACGTGATTTGCTGCAACGAAAGGAACGCCCCGGCCTAAGCTGAGGTCATAATAGGTATAAAAATAACGCCTCAGGAAGAGCTGGGGGTTCAGAATTTGCCATGCTAATACTCTGAACCTTTTGCGCAAATAAAAACCCTGTATTTTCTAACCTTTCGTGGTCTTGTGTCTTGATTTGGAAGCAAGAATTGCTGCAACATTTAATGGCAACCGCGGCAGGACACAAGGGGCCCTGAGGCCCGCTGGAAGGTCCATCCCGAGTGCCAGTACATCGGTGAGTTGAAAGGAACATCCCCGGCGCCATCGGTCTTTTGAATCCGAGGGACTTCCCGAGACTGCTGTTCTCTGGCGGCGGCGATTGACACCTCCAAGAACCACAGGTGAGGAGACCAGGACATCTTCCAGCCGGCCATGGAGAGGGAAGACGCCTGCAGGCAAGTATTGGATTTGGGAAATAATCCCTCCCTGTAAGCAGGGACGGAGGAGAGGACTGATCACCCTCTCTTAGGAAAAGGTGGGAGGACTTGTCAAGAGTGACTTTGGTGAAAGACTACTGCGGTTCCCATTGGGGACTGTGAGTGTCCAGCGCCGTGGGCCAGTAGAAAGCGAGTGGCGTTCGCAGTTCCCATCAGAGACCGTGCGCATCTGGCTCCCTGGGTTGGACGTGAGCGTGTGTAAATCCCTGGTGTGTTCGGAAAAGGAGGGACCCCAGACCCTCCTCTCCAATCGCTTTCCTCATCCGTCTTGTCTGGTGACCTGGGTGTCTTACTGCTTCTCCCAGGAGGCTTCCCTGGGGCCCAGCAAGGCAAAAATGGAGCTCCCCAGGCTCCATTTTTGTCCTCCCTGGGCCCCAGGGAAGCCTTCTTGGAGCAAAAATAGCCCCCACAGAAGGCTCCCCTGAGGCCCAGGAGGCTCAAAAACAGAACACAGGGGGGAATGCTGCAAAAACCAAAAAAGCCACGTCCACCCAGTCACGTGGCCACGCCCACCTAGCCACACCCACACAATCTGTTCTTAAAAAAATTTGAATCCCACCCCTGCATTAAGCCAAAAGAAACTGGATAAGGACGGGGCCCAAAGCCTGACCTGGGCAGGTAGGACCGTCGGGTGGATAACGTAAAGTTTTGGAGTCCTTGCTGAACACGTGCACAGGTAGTCTTGGAGAAACTTACAACAGGACTGAAAAAAGTAACTTAATGTGATGACCCAGGGCGTGACACAAAAATAACAAAGTCACGAAAGCAGAATAAATTCCCTTTAATGCCTCCAACTTGGGCCCCCAATGTCCAGTTATCCTCGGCTGGATATCAAACTCTCCAAAACCAGTCTACGAAGGGAACAAATGCAGTCCTAACCCAAAGTATAGATAGTTAGAAATAAAAAAAACCAACATAAACCACACTGAAGTAATTAACACGACAGGCCAGGATGATAAATTGCAGACTTCCACAAAATAACGCAGCAACCACAGTTGGGGGGATGCCAAAACCCAGATAAGCCGCAACAAAGATAATGCATGCTTTGCTTCCAGTAAGGAGCTGTGTGCAAACGCCCCTCTTATATCCTGTTCTCCCAGCTGCAACTAATGAAAGGGATCAGGGCCCTTTTCTCTCCCGTAGGCCATGTTGCTCCCTTCTCCGTTCCTCCCTGTGTGCCCTAGGATGAAGAGGGGATGGTCCTGGTCTCTCTTTGAATGCCCAGCCGGACTGTGCCCTTCCCCCGTTTCTTCCACAGCCACTGGAGCCACATTCCCACTCCCTGTCAGTTGCTCAATCTCCCCCTCAGAATCAGACTCCAACAAGGGCATGACACTTATGACCACTTTTCACACTTACGACCGTTGCAGCATCCCCATGATCACGTGATTTACTTTCAGATGCCGAACAACTGACTCCCATTTATGACGGTTGCAGCATCCTTTTGCAACCTTCTGTGGGGAAGCCAGATTCATTGAACAACCGTGTTACTAATGTAACAACTGCAGTGATTCCCTTAACAAACGTGGCAAGAAAGGTCATAAAACGGGGCAAAATTCTCTTACCAAGTTTCTCACTTAGCCACATAAATGTTGGGCTCAATTGTGGTCATAAGTGGAGGACTACCTGTACAGTTAGTCCTCGACTTATGACCACAGACCTCAAAATTACCAATGCTAAGTGATTCAGTTGTTATGGGAGCTGTTCCTCATTTCATGCTCTTTTTGCCACAGTTGTTAAAATAAATCATTGCATTCATCAAATGAATCTGCCTTCTGTCAACTCATAAAATATTTCTATGGTCTTTTTTAGAGTTGCCAATAGAAAGGGAGGGGGGAGACGTACGGCAGCGTGCAAACCGAAAGTGCATTCCATATATATAGTTTTTCAAAGATAGTAACTAGGTGACTGAAGTTTCTGCTGCTCAAAATTCTAACTGGAGAGCATGATTGCTGACTCTTGGCTATGGATGTGTCCCATTGGAGAATATGAATTATGATACACCCAGTGGGTGGGGAGAAACCAGGGTCAAGGGTGACAATGAATGATGTGCCTCAGAGTTGGCTACACCCAGGCAGTGCCAGATTTTAACTCCCAATAAATCCTTTTGAAGTTTTGGAAGTTTCGCTCAAGACTCATGATTTAAATGGGGGTGACTGCCGGAATCCTGACACCTTCCCTCACTGACTTTCCTGGTCAGAAAATGGCTGGGAAGGTTGCAAAAGGGGAACATATGACCCCAGGACAGTGCAAGCATCAAAAATACATGCTAGTTATCAAGTGGCTGTGGGGATGCTGCATGTTATAACCCGCCGGCAGCTGACAGAGCTGGCAGCAGAGTGGGACAGTAGTGAGGAGGTTGGGGAGGAACCCAAGCCGGTTCTGGAGGCTGAGGAAGGCCCGGAGGAGGGCTCTGCATCAGAGGCAGCAATGGGGCCAGGGCAGGCTGGCAGTCAGCAGCTGCCTTCAGGTTCAGACAGCAGTGATGCGGAGGAACCAGTTGCCAGCCTGCACATGTGCAGACCTACCAGAGGACAAGAACAATTGAGAAAGCAGGGTTGACTCGGGAGTAAGCCCACACCTTGGAGATGATTGGCCCCTCCCATAGGACATAAAAGAGGAGCGAACGGGATGTGAGCTTTTGCAGGAAGCAATTAGTTTGTCTGGTCGGTTCAAGCTTTGAAAAGTTCTGTTTGACTCTGTGTCAAGTTTGGTCTTGCTCTGAATTTGTCAATTAGTTCTCTGGCCGCATTCCAAGTGCGATAAGGTGGGTGTTTATAAACATTCCCCTGAAAGGCTGTTTGTGAAGCCTTGCAGGCTGTGAATGAACGTGGAAATAAAAGAGGTTTTGCCAGGATTAAGATTGTGTTTTATGCTTTCTGAGGAAGCCTAGGTTAGAACAAAAGGTGAAAACTGGTCATTCCGTCTCTTTTTCAACGCCGTTGTAACTCTGGTCACTAAACAAATGGTTGTAAGTCAAGGACTGCCTGTACACCCACCCTAAACCATAAAGGAACCACGGGAAGCCATTTTAGGTGGAGGCCATCTTGATCCGTGTCAACAAAGAACAATGTCCACAAATACCTACATAGGATTTACTGTCCACACGTATGGATACGTGCAAGTCCTGTGCGGGTTATTACAATGGATCTCACATATCATCTGCATCACACACACACACACACACACACACACACACACACACACACACACACAAAAACCCCCAAAGGAACGAAAGGAAAAGATGGAGATTGTCCCACTTCAGTCAGGCAAAAGGGGAGCAACAGAGACTCTTGTCAGCCATCCCTCCCCTCCTGCTAAGAAAGGGAAAGGGGGGGGGTCTTTCCGAAGAGGATCCCGGCATTGCTTTGAGGTGGGGGGAGGCTTTGGGAATCTTACCAGGGCTCATGGACGGGATCTCCTAGCTCAGCGGTCTCCAACCTTGGCAGCTTTGCTGGCTGGGGAATTTTCGGAGTTGAAGTCCGCCAGGCTTAAAGTTGCCAAGGTTGGAGTCCCCTGTCCTAGCTATTGTTTGGGATACTTGGGTTCAGAAAGAGAAAGGATCTAACTCTTTCCTTCACTTCTTTTCCCTTCGTCCAGCAGGAGCTACGTGGGGGGAGGAAACAGCAACCACCTCTCACCAAACATTGGACTGCAAAGCCCTTCAATTGATCAGCCTCCAGAAACCATGCATGGGGGGAAACCCTCTGAGCAGAGTTCCCCTCAGAGGAACCAGGAAGGATTGTCTACATGCTCCCAATGCGGGAAATCCTTTGCTCACCGGTCCCTCCTTTTGATCCACCGGAAGCTGCACACGGGGAGTGGATCCCACCTGTGTTCTCTTTGTGGAAGCTCCTTTCCCGGAGTCTGGAGCTTTGCCAAACATCTCCGGAGCCACCCTGGAGTGAAGCCTTACAAATGCGGAGAGTGCAGGGAGCGTTTTCCTAAAGGCTCGGACCTTGGAGCCCATCAGCGAATCCACCAGGGAAGAAAGAGATCTCAGGAATGCCGGAAGTGGAGGAACAGATTGTGGTTATGTCAAAAATCAGAGCTTCACACACGAGAGAAACATTACAAGTGCGGCCAATGCGAGAAGGCCTTCCCTCAGAAGTCGCAGCTTTGGCTCCACCAGAAATTTCACCAGGAAATAAAGCCTTACAATGCGTGCGGGGGTGAAATTGCCCCGCGATCCTCTCTTCGGAGTCACAAGAAAAAAAACCGATGGGAGAAAAATGAAGAGTGTCCAGAATGCGGGAAATGTTTTTCCACCAAGGCCTCCCTGATACGACATCAGAGAATCCACTTTGGCGACAGACCCTATCAATGCTCGGACTGTGAGAAACCATTTGTGTATTTTTCGGACCTTTGCAGGCACCAGGAATGGCACAGAGGAAAGAAACACTATAAATGTGCGGAGTGTGGGAAAAGCTTTTCTTGCAAGTCCTATCTTCGTTCACACCAGGATGCCCACACAGGGGGGAAACCCTACAAGTGCACAGAGTGTGGGAAGTGCTTCCTTGTAAAGGGGAGCCTGTGTCAACACCAGAAGATTCACTCCGGGGAGAAGCCCTTTCAGTGCATCGAGTGTGGAATGTTTTTTCTTACCAAAGGAGGCCTCACACGTCACGGGCAAGTTCACAAAGGAAGAAAAGATCACAAATGTTTGGACTGTGGGGCAGTATTTGCTTATTTGTCAACCCTGAGAAAACACAGCCTGATAAAGCACGTAGGAGTGACCTCTCTGAAATGTTTGGAGTGCGGTAAATGTTTTTTCAGAAATGACAGCCTTTTGAGGCATCGGAGAATTCATACCAGAGAAAAGCCTTATGAATGTCTGGAGTGTGGGAAATCTTTTGCTTACAAGGAATATCTTAAGGTCCACGAGAGGCTTCACACAGGAGAGAAACCTCACACCTGCAGGAACTGTGGGAAGGACTTTGTACGTATTAGTGACCTTCGGACCCATGAGGAGATTCACACAGGGATAAAATCTCATAAGTGCTCTGAGTGCGGAAAATGTTTTGGTTGGAGTTCATCTCTCCGGAGGCATAAGAAAATTCACAAAAGGCTGGCAAATGAAGCCAAAAGGAAAAAAGAAAAAAATTGAATATATATATATCATACAATTTCAAAATAATTATGTTAAGGCTGGAATGAAAACAAGAAGGATATTTTAAGAGGGGAAACTAGCCCTTACGAACAAATGAGTCCCAGCCACGAAAACCAACACCAGACCCAAAACAACACATGACACCATCACCAATCTCTCTCACCAAACTCAAACCTAAACCCACCCCATAGATGAAAGGCAACCACCGTCCAGAAACCAGACCACGACTGTATCACCAGTTGCCACACAACCCGACCCCCAAACCAAGCAAACTGACACACGCCATGAACACATATCCAGGCCTCAAACTCAGAGCCAAACCAAAACCCGGAACGTCACATCATAGCCACCCGCTCAGGATATCACATCACGGAACTCAGGAGGTTACACCACAAAACCTCAGGATGTTACAACACAGCCAACAACCCAGGAGATTACCGCACAAGACCCAGGATGTCACAACAATAGAACTCAGAAGGTCATCACACAGCCCATTACCCAGGTCGTTACAACACAGGAGGCTGATAGACAGCCAATACCTCAGCCACAGGTGTTCTTACAAAAAAGCCAGCCAATCTGCCAACATCAACTCCATCAACCAATCAAGAAATGACAACACAGCCAACCTCCCCACCAGTATTTATAGAGAGACGGCAGCTCCGATCACGCTTTGCTCGCACGAGCACGAAGCCGAAATATATATATGCAGGTCTTCGTGTGTTCGGGTCTTTTCCCGTTTTTTCCCCATTGCATCTTGGTAATGTTTCGACGAGGTCTCACTCGCCATCTTCAGGCTGGTGCTTTCGGCTTTGTGCTACGAAAACATAATTTTTATATATATGTATGTTTTCTGAGGTTTTTGCGGGTATTTGTATGTGGATCTTTGGTTATTCGGGTTTTCTCCCACGTAAAATTGGAAGTATCTAAAATTGGAAGTACTCCCACCCAATCAGAACACAGCCAAGCCCCCACCCAATCAAGTCACACCCCCACTAGCAGTTAAAAGGAAGAAACAGCTGCAAGCTCACATTACTCCGAGAAGCACAAAGCCGAAGACACAAGCCTGAAGATGATAAATGAAACTTCATCAAAATGTCGCCTAGATACTTCCAATTTTACACGGGAGAAAACCCGAATAACGATAGATAGATAGATTGCAATTTCAAAATAATTGTTAAGTTGGAATGAAAACAAGGATATTTTAAGAGGGGAAAAAAACTATTTATACATAAGGATGGGTCTCTCAAAATGAGAATGAGAGAATATGATAAAAATAAAACAACAGACTGTGATAATCAGAATCCGCAGGATGCTTTATTATAAAGTATTGCAATACCGGCCCCCAATCCGAAACATCAGTTTAGGAGAAAAGAGACACCCACTTCCAGTAATTACAGCCTTATATAGGATTATCACATTTAACAAATTACATAATACTTCCTGTTTTTCATATATAGAAGTTATACAGATTCTCATAAGAAAGATATGGGTGTTTTTCATAACTCCTCCCAGACTCCTTCATGGAAATTCCCCAAATTTCCTCCTCTTCCTCATTATCAGATATCCTGTTTTTCACTTAAAAGATTACATGGTAGATCATTAATAACCCTATAATGTCAAGGCAACCTCTTATGAAACACCATACCAGTTTCGAAAGACACTTAGGACAGATAAGAAAATTAAATTAGAAATCCAATCAAGCCCTAGCAAACATTCCCCGCCAGCCCTCCGAACAATCCCAAATGAGGAATAAATCCATTAAGCACAGGAATCACACGAGGCACAAACCATTAACCATATTAGAAACACAAAGCTATTGAAACACAAATTCTTAAGGGAAAAAGGGTATAAAACCATCCAGTTATTCACAGTCAGATTGCTAGCTCAGGAACGTGTATCCTCGCTGTGCTGTTTCCGTCTCAATTTCTACGCCGCGCCGGCAACGCTTCCCAGCGGGAAATTCAAACCCAGCGGAGGAGATTTCACAATACGTTCAATAATGGCTTAATGGCTTTGTTCTGGTTTGGATCTGAGTGAGAGCTAATCCTATCACTCTGGATGTGAAGGTCTTTTGTGATAAGCTGGCCCATTCTTTTGTCTTGTAGATAAGCTGGTACCAAAATATCCACCGGGGCTGAGTTTCTGTGTCACTTAAGATTTCTCTTTTAGGGGAAATATTCCGCTTTTTCAATATTTCCTAGAATATTTCATTCTGCTTAGGAGAGGGGTGGGTGCTAACTTCCTACACTTCCTTGCCTACTTCAGATAAATTGAAACACTAATCAAAGTCTCTGCTGGTTACGGAAAAGGAAGCCCTCCGTTGGGATTCAAAAGTTCCCCCCACCGGTTCTGTGGGTGTGGCTGCAGGGTGTGTGTGTGTTGCATGACTCGCGCGTGCGCCAAATGTGTGCTTTGTGCACACATTAAAACAATAAAAATTAAGCTACTGCGCCTCTCAGCTGTTAGCACAGCAATACGCTCTGTGGCGCCAAACAACTGAGAGGTTAAAAAGGACTTGGGAGAAGAGGCGGGTGGGTGGGCCCAACTGTCCGAGAAAGGAGTGAACCGGTTCTCTGCCAGCTGATCTTCAGCGCTACCGGTAAGCCAGAATCGGGCCGAACCAGTAGAATACCACCACTGCCCCCCTCCCTTGCTCCCTCCATCATTTGTACCAGGGATGGGGGACTAATAGTAATAGTAAATAAATAGAGAGGGAAATTGTATCTCTTTGAGGCCGGGCAAGGCACCCTTTGATGTGAGTGACATGAAGTTGGCCACGCCCACCCAGTCACATGACCGCCAAGCATGCCCAGTCACATGATCACCGATCATGCCCACCGAGTCACATGACCAAGCCACACCCACCCAATCACATGACCACCAAGCCACGCCCAACAAATAAGCCATGCCCACAGAACCAGTAGTAAAAAAAAAAAAGTTGAATCCCACCACTGGGGATTATGGCCTTTTTATGATTTGTGGACTTCAACTCCCAGAATTCCTCCCCTCCCCCCCATGGTGGTGGTCTAGGGACATTGGGTGGTACCTCAGGGATATTGGGCTTTCAATGGCCTGCTGAGGTAATGGTCCGTGCCAGCTGCACGGCTGTCCCATTGAGACTGTTAGAATTATTAGATTCCTGATCAACAACATGGACTTGGAATCGTTTCGATTTCACTGAGCTGGAAAGGCTCAAATACCAGTCACATTCCTACATGGCAGGAGCAAAAGAGGCAATTTTTTTTTTCAGCTGCTGAGCAGCATCTCAAATTCTTAGTAAGACCACACCTAGAGTATTGCATCCAGTGTTGGTCACCACACTATAAAAAGGATGTTGAGACTCTGGAAAAAGTACAGAGAAGAGCAACCAAGATGATTGGGGGACTGGAGACTAAAACATATTACAGGAACTGGGCCTGGCTAGTCTAGTGAAGAGAAGGACCAGGGGAGACAGGATAGCAGTCTTCCAATATTTGAGGGGCTGCCAGAGAGAGGAAAGGGTCAAGCTATTTTCTAAAGCACCTGTAGGCCAGACAAGGAACAATGGATGGAAACTGAACAGGGAGAGATTCAACCTGGAAATAAGTGAGAACAGTGAGAACAAATCAACCAATGGAACAGAAGTTACCATTGGAAGTTGTGGGAGTGCCATCACTTGAGACTTTCAAGAAGAGATTGGACTCCCATCTGTCAGAAATGGTGTAGGGTGTCCTGCTTGGGTGGGGGGTTGGACTAGATGACCGACAAGGTCCCTTCCAACTCTGATTATCTGTTATCATGCGGATTGGGATGGTATTGCTCTTCTCTATTTCTTCTGGACAGCGCTTTTAAATTCTGCAGGTCAGGCAGGGCCTAATTGTTATACAGTGGGTGGGCATCCTTAAGTCTTTTTCAAACACACCCATACCTTTGTGTTATGATTGCATAACAGAAATCACTACACCAAAACAGAAACATTTAAGCTAAAAGTCTGTAGAGATTCTCAGTCATCCAGCTCAAGCACCCAAAGGTGCTTTTTCTGGAGGCAACTGGACTTTCTTCTTTTTTTTCTTTTGAAGACGTTTCGCTTCTCATCCAAGAAGCTTCTTCAGCTCTGACAGTGGGGAATGGAAGGATTTATATTGCTTGCAGACAACTGGTCATTTGCATCCTTTTAAAGCAAGGGTCTTCAAACGTGGCAAGTTTTAAGACTTGTGGGCTTCAACTCCCAGAATTCCTGAGCTAACAGGACTGGAGGAGGAATTCTGGGAGTTGAAGTCCACAAGTCTTAAAGCTGTCAAGTTTGAAGATCCCTGTTTTTGGAGGGTTGTTGAAGCACTTGGAGGTTTATCTGTGTCCTCGGGGGTCACCTGAGTAGTTCTCCTGATTCCTGTACTCTGCAATTTTCCTCTGGAAATCCATTCCTACTCCCACACCATTCAAAGGGTGTTCATCCCAAATTGGATAGCTAAAAGTCTGCAGAAATTCTCAGTCAGGTCCAGGCCAGAATTGTCCCAAAGGTGCTTTTTTCAACTGGACTTTGTTTTGTTGTTTTGTTTTTGATTTTGAAGACGTTTCGCTTCTCATCCAAGAAGCTTCTTCAATGCAAATGACCAGCTGTCTGTAAGGAATATAAATCCTTCCATTCCCTACTATCCTGTCAGAACTGAAGAAGCTTTTTCGATGAGAAGCAAAATGTCTTCAAAGAAAAACATTTTAGCTAAACCATTTCCATGATCCTCAGATGCCTGGAGGCCATCTAAACCCTCCTATGTGTCTTCCGGGTACCTTCCACACTTTTCCTTCCCAGCAGCCCCTGGGTTCCTCCTGACCCCCACAGGAAGTCCCTTTCCTCTCTGGTCCCCACAACACACCTCCTTGACTCAGCTCTGCAGCCATTTTGAAACAGTGCTTTGAGTTAGCCAAAGAATTTGCAAAGGTAGGCTCCTGTGGCAAT